GATGTTCACCTAACTGTGGCATCAATGAAAAACTACTTCCTATTTTTTAAAAATCCAAAATGGCTGCCAAACCATGTGACCAACCATAAAAATGTTTTCACACATAGATGATAAAAAAACCAAATTTCAGATCAATGTGTTTGGTGGTTCTGAAGAAGAAGATTTTCCAAGTGTTTTGCCGTTTTTCAGAAAAAAAAAACATGACGAAAAATTCACGTGACCGCTAAAGTTGTCATTGTTGATGTCTATTACACATAAGTTGTACTATATGCCATAACAAATCGATTAGAACCTCAGAAAAAGATTCAAAAGGCTCGACAAATAAAACGGCGAAAGAAGAAGTGGAAGAAGAAAATCAGAAAGATAATAAAAAGACTCCAAGCCCTGAAGGCACTTCTATAGTGATAAACGTACTAGTATCATAAAACCTATTCGACTACACAAGGAGCAACACAATGCAAATACAGAAACAGAAACAAAAGACAAGTACACGACAATAATGTGAAATTGTGTATTGTCACTTCCTCCTTCAGCCTGGAACGATGTACACAATGTATTGTGTACACGCCATTCTATTGAGTGTTGTACATTCATCATATATTGTTCTAGGTAATGACGTAATTGCGAGTGAGTATTGTATTGAGTATTGCGAGTGTGCCGGAGCTGAATTATTGACAACCTGGATGCCAACGCAGCAAGAATCGACAACTCGTTAAATGGACACTGTGTTTTTACAATATGTTTTATTATTTTTATGTCCCATTTTATAATGTATAGTCACACACTTGCAGCAGGAGATTTAAAGGGCGGTAGTCGTTGCGCCGCGCATGTACGACATTTCCCCACAATCCAATGCGCTCTTCTAATAAAATCACAGGTATGAGGTTTGACCTGGGTGCTACTTGCACTAATTACCGCCGGTGACTCCTTCGTTGCCTTCCAATCACCTAAAATTACCTATTTAAAGCTTGGTAACGGCTCATTTTGTACTCGTTTATCTGCGCAACAGTCAAAGTCGCCATCTTTGTTTATATAAGACCCCATATATCTCGCGCATGCGTGGCGCGACTACTACCGCTCTTTAAACTTTAGTAAGTGGAATCATGTGATCGATACATCCGGGTTGAAGATCCAAGTTGTACTATCTTGAAGAAAATACGCCCTTCATAGAGTGAAATGCATTTATAAAACTGTTGCAAAAAGTAATAATTTATACGTTCGTTCGGACAATATGTGTTGTAGTGGTCGCTGGAAAGTGCTGTACTTATTTCCTTTAGCTTCCTAGTCCAAAGTGTTGCGGTCAAATTTACATTTCACACTGACACCCACTTTTACTGACCCTGTTCAGAGGCGGCGGCGACACGAAATTTAGCATAGGAGGTCCGGAGTATGCTTTCCCTTAACAATTTTGAAATCTATACCCTCTGAAATGCTATTTCCTGCATTTTGAAGGGCAAATTTTGCTGACGCAAAAGGTTTCAACTTGATTTCGGAGGGGCGACGCCCCCATTATTTCGAGGTGGTGAACGCCCCCACTGCTGTTACTGACAGATGAATTGAGGGATATATAGCGTGTATCGTCATCACTTTATTGAAGGACATTACTCAGTGATTGAGCGTAGATGTAATTTTTTTCAACCAACACCATTCAGATGAGAAGGATGATTTAAAAAATGTATCTTAGAAGGACATGCACATATTTACGATATATTTACTACATTTACTGTCAATACTGTCAACACTATACCCGACTATAGTTCCCTTCAACGACTAACAACATTTTTTGAAATTTAAATAGGATGCATTGTGCAAAAATATATCTTCTGAACAGCTGTTTTTGTCGTGTTGGTGGTTTTTCAGCAGTATCCACCTGACAGTTCTACCGTCATGAAAATAGTTCTACGCCAAGTGAAAGTAATTAAAAAAGTGAGATCGTGTCAACATTCACTCGAAAGTTAGGTGAAGCGAACTTTTGTACGAGTGAAGTTCACTCATTTCATCAAAGTCTCTCCATAGACGGACTGTGATTTCACAAACGTCGCACATTTTACAATCATTATTATGGATTGCAGACAATTTTGCATAAACAAAAACAAAATCAAGCAACATAGCAATATACTCACGTCCGACTCAGTAAACCCTTGATTCACTTCAGATGTGATAAATAGATTTGTTCTTCCGGCTGTGTAAGTCTGGCACAAACAGCTCTCAGACCCTCCCAAACAGCTTGTAAGCACCTTAGTAAGTTACCGAGTGAGTGATGACAATGCGTCTCTACCACAGTCAGATGGCGCACAAGTGATAATAAAATAAATGCGATATATTTACTATATGGGAAAGCTATCTTAAATACGGCATGAAGCAAATAAAGAGACTAGTTGTGAAACGTGTTTTTCAGATTCCTACAAATCGGGAAAAAATAACAATCTTTTACAGCTAAACGATCCGTTTGGGTAATATTAAGCGAACCGCTAACAAAATTTCTAGCATACGAAAACTTATCACACGAAGAACATAGAACACTTTCCCGAGGTATTTGAAACCGAAATTGTCATCTAACTGTAAGGCCGTCGCTGATTGGCTGCTGAGTTGGATGGCAATTTTTGGTTTCAAATATCCCCAGGAAAGTGTTCTGTACGAACTGCCACTGGTGGCGGTGTATACAATTGAAACCTATTGAGGCTTTTCTACGCTCATTCAGACTTGAGGGTAAAGCCAGAAATTAAATTTGATGACCTGTTTTAGTATGATAGAAAGCGTGTACAGTCTTCAAATTACCACAATATACAGAGTGGATATCAGTCCATGGTGCTGAACGTTGAGTTTGTATTCGAAGCTGTTGTACGTGGTGTTCACCCTTCTAGTCAAGGGAAATGAAAGTATCACTTGTCGAAATGGATCTCAGGTCATTGTCAACGTTGAACTAAGTTCTCAGACCTGTCACTGCACACTGCCGTGATGAACAAAAATGCGATCGCGATCCCATTTGTATGGACGATCTTTGTCTAGATTGGTTGTCAACATATCTTGTTATAACGCATCATGGTATAGTCAGTACAACGGGACTGATGGACGTGATGTGCATACTACTATATGTACCAAGCAGTAATGCAGAGCTGATCACGACTGTGTCCGTTGTATACGGACTCTATGTCAGTCGCCACTGGGGACGAGAGATGTAAATTTAAGTGACGGGTCACATAGCGAGATCTCGGTTTAGGTGACACATAACAGCGATATCTTGCTTAATTTACTCTTTTGAGAACACATACATGTCCCATGCAATTTAAGGGTTTTCACATCAAACTAAATACAGTACAATATTATAAGCAAACGAAACGCGAAGTAAAATTATCAAATATATCTACGAATTGAGGTATTGCTCTTTTGTATTAATTTTGATCATTTTGCAAATGTTCACGCTAATATTTTCGTTACTCGTCGAGCGGGTCGTAAAATTTATTATGCGTATAGTAATGGTCTGTTGTTGTTAGAAGGTATATCATGTAGTGATAATATTCATCTTCGATTGCTTTGTCAGAACACAGAATTCTTTTTTCTACTTATGTTTTTGACCTTGCACGCTGTCCTAATCTTTAAATCATGGTTACATAGTTGAAAAATTGAGCCACGGAGTTCGAGTTGGGTGAGTGAATGAGTGCATTTACGAAAGTTATGCTAGACTGTGTCAGTACATACGTTTTGTTCCAATAACTTTGCCATTTATGATATGATAGCAATTTATACGATTTTGTGAAATTGATTGAAATATTATTTCACCAACTTGTTCCACTCACGTAACAATCTCGAGACGCACATAACAAACCAGTCACCAATTTAGCTAAGCCATATTGCTATTTTTGTGTTCGTAACAATACAACAGTTACGGTAACTATATCAACCTATTTATGTAGTACATTCATAATCTACATCGGGAATTGTATGTTTGAACCCATTCAAGTCGTAGTGTGTTTCTGAAAGATTTGCTCTCAGTTCATTTATTTTATTTGGGACACTGAGTTATTGCTTTTTAAGTTACGAATTTGGTTTATTCATTCATTAGATAATTTATTCTTCTTCGTTAATGCCCGGCGTGTGGCGGATGTTATATTAACAAGCATTTTAGCAATGGTCGAGTTCCGTGTCTATCAAAGGACACTATGCGTCATAGACTGATAAAATGTGGTAATATAATCACACATACAGAGAAACTAGCATGGATACCATGAACAAACTCATCGTTGTCTATTTTTGTTCATTTCCAACAAAAGCTTCCGAACAAAATGTAACAGTTTTGGCCAATTTACAAAATAATTCATTCTACCGTGTCTGTGTAGATAGCTCTTCTGTAATATTTTTTAACTAATTAACTAGGGAATATATTAGTGAAGAACCGACATAGAAATTAAATAAAATGACCATAAATCGGCAGTTTCACAAATCACATACTCCTGTAGATCAATATGGAAGTTTCTCACACAAAATTTGAATGAAGTAATTCTGGACACGTTTAAGTACCAGAATTCAACAAATTTGAAGACTAATGTGTCCGCTAGTCAGCCATACAATCACTTGATAAATGGTAACGAAAGTCGGTGTTCATAAGTAAGTCATCATACATGGTCTTTGTGTTGAATTTAAATATGATCGGTCAAACCATGCCCCACACATTGCTCAGGAGGTACACACAAGTGGAGCTCAAATTGACAGTCACCGATTTCGTCGGAAACGGGGACTAAAATCACTTGTGCATTCGCTATCGAGAATGTTGTCTTTACCGTAAAAAATAGGTATAAAAAAATACATCTTGCCTAACCTTTTTTTCAACACAGGATGCAATTACCGGATAGCATAATTACCGGATAAATCTTAATTGTGTCATCGATCCATTTAACTTATTGGATATTTGTAATTAAACATGGTTACAATGAATTAATTACTTTGAAGATGTATTAAATTGACAAGTTTTCACGTGTGGACTTCGACGACTGTATGACAGTATGGTTCGGCTGACATTCTCAACACTGCTCTGGACATTATCCACATTCTCAGTGGTAAGACAACACTGTTTGTATTTGTCAGTGTTTGTAAACCATCCCTGGGCCGTGAATTGTCAATAACTATAATATCAATGTTTATTACCCCATCGGTGACAAAATGAAGCAACGTACTATGCTAATCCACTAATTTATTTTGTATCTATTATATACATCTAGATATACACAACCAGTCTGAAATCAGATGTTCAACGGGACGGTGATGTGGAATCCCCTGACCTCAGTAATTTGCCACCAATAATGGTGAGTGTGCGTTTTATTTTAAGTGCGATGGTAGAATGGGGATAAAACATTGCAATTTGTTGTTCTAATATAACCATTCATAAATATTCTAATTATAATTTTTCGTAAATATTGTAGATAAGTTTGAAATAAAAATCTCATAAATAAGTTGAAGTAGGTATTCTCATCAACAATATAATGGTGACGTAAAACGGTAATGATTGTTAAAGGGTTAGTTCATTTGTGAAAGTTTCATAAAGTGTTAAAAATGCGTAGATTTAAAAATTATCTAATCATCTATAAAACAAAATATATGTGGGACAGTATATATATGTGCAGCCTCCAATTGATCAAGTCTGTGGTATAAATATCGGTTAAAAAGAAATAATATTTAATACAGCTTTCTTGGATGTTGTCATTTGTATTGCGTTGTGGCAATTTTGAAAAGATATATTTTTGTAATCGCTTAGACGTTCAATATTCAGATCTCGACCTCAAATATACGGTAATACAATACGTCCTATGTGTTCTATTTTCAGAGACGTTATAGTGTACCGGATATAGGTTCTCAACAATGTAAGCGATCCATCATATTTATTTTTTAATTTATTCTTTATATTATTTATTACTACTTTTACTTTACTTTATTTGTGAACAAACTTCGGTTTATTTCATTGGTAACACGTGTTTTTAATATATATCAGTTAAACTTGAATGACGTATTTGTTTACCTATTCAGATGACCCTGGTGTGTTCAGTCCTCGACCAGCAATGCAAATGATTGTATCTAGAAACTCTGAACTCATAGACGGTAAATACATAATACTCATAATATTCTTATTAAATTATTTTGATTATTAGGTGCACACGGCTAACTAGTGTAAATATTTAACATCACTATATATTAGCTGAGCAAAGGTTTCTAAAAAACGACAAGAACAAAAAGAACAACGACGTTTTGTTTTCTCTACTCTTAGACTGGTGACCATTATTATTGAAAATTCATCAAAATACATGAAACTGTAGCTCGGGTATCCCAAATATTTTCGCCGAACTTTCAGCTAGCAGTTCACAGCAAATAATTTCAGTAAAATCCTGTGATTCAGCGTCCATATTTAAATATGTAAACTTCACTGGGTTACAACTCTTCACTTTCCTTTCGAGACATCTATACTACCCTCACACCCAAGTGTGTTGTTATTTGAGACATCGCCCACTGATGTTGTTACTCCAGTAGTCCAATTATAAAACGAATTAATCTATTCAGGCCTAATATTACAAAAAACTCGTTTAAATACCGGAAATTACCACTAATTAAGAAAACGGGCGATTTACCCGAAATACATTAACATTGACAAATGCTGGAAATAGTGTAAAGTTAGTTTAGAATACTACGTCTAGTTTACGGAACTATAGAATATCACTAGGACGTGGTGTAATATCAGTTGATTTGGTTATAACTGTATTTTTTTTTTAAATTTTCACAGCGGAAATCCCTGGGTTTCTTGAAGGTGATATGTATATCCCAGATGTTAAGGTAATTATTCATTCGTTGATATATATCACTTTTATCTCGACACATTATTTTAACAAATAGGATATGGCAAGTCGACTTTGCTAAATGTAAAATCAATAATTATTCCGCAAATAACTATAATCTTATTTGTTACATTCATAAGCAAAATGAAGTGCAAGACAAAAATGTATGCTGATGACTGTTTAATTCTGTTATTATGAAGACTATGAGTCTGAAATCTGATCTAGTCACCCCTGAGGATAGGTGTAAAGATTAGTTATTGCATTTCAAAATGTCACACATTTTTCACATTTGCATAAAATTGCTATCATCAAACTGTGAGATGTTGAATTGAATTATGGTCTGAAATGGAGCAAAGATTGTAAAACGACAGCAACTAAATGCAACAAATTTCATACGCCGCCGTGTACTGAAACATGACAAGCCAGATACTATCATACAAGTGTTTAATTCATTCGAAAATAGGTTCCTTTTTAAACGAGAGGCTTTGTTTTTATTCTTGTAGCGGTGACTCTTGACATGGAGTTTATATCCGTAAACCACAGGGAGCCCAGGAACTATAATCAACTGTAGTACGCAGTT